CCCTTTAATTGTCTTCTTAATTATATCTTATTAACTACCCCCCCCCCCCCCCCGCCCCCCCCGGTGTTTGCTATCGGGGCTGGGTTTTTCGTCGCTTGGCAACGACGTTGTAAAACAAGCCCCCCCCTCGGTGTTTGCCATCGGGATCGGGTTTTCGTCGCTTGGCAACGACGTTGTAAAACAAGCCAATTCACTTCGTGAACTCGGCAACCAGGTTACCGTTTTTTTTTTTTTTTACCTCGTTTTTTTTTTGGCGGTAACCATAATGGTGGTCGAGTAGATGATGTTGTGCGGGGTGGAGAAACCTCACTCCGCGCAAGGGGGATGATCGCACCACGTTGTGTTAAAATGGTCAAGCTTCCTCGAGGCAGTTACACAGTGCTTATAACTGTCTCTGGAAGTGAAAGCACCAGAAAATAAATTAAGTCATACGCAGCTGTCATCCGTACGCAAGGAAGTAAGCACAAGATGCCGAATACCCTTAGAAGGATGCAGCTCACCCTTCATGCGAATCGCCGAATACCTCACGGCGCTTCGCGCTTGGTGATGTGAGAGCCTGGTCCGGTGAGAACCCGGCGTGCTCCGTCCCGGCTTTGTAGGGATGCGAGGTCAATGGTCTAACGACTACGGCATGCACGACTATGAGTACCCCCCCCCCCCTCTCTCTCTCTTTCTCTCAGGACAAGGAGCGCATCGCGGTGTACATTCGGGGTGCTCAATGCATCAACCGGGCGGTGGACGGTGACATTGTGGCGTTCGAGCTACTACCCGAAGCAGAATGGTACTCCCAAGGGGACACGTCGGGCGGAGCGACCAAAGAGGAGGTCAGTCGCCACCACAAATAAGCCAGGGAGCGATGGAAAAGGTTACTTGAGGAGAGTACTTGCTCAGTCGGAGAGTCCCACCCCGTGACTGCAATGGTTCCTCTAACTTCACCCACATAATCCTCAAGTTTGTCGTGGTGTGCTTGACCACTCGATTCGCAACGGATCAAGAAACGTCCTCATTTGTCCCACCCACTGTGCTTGCAATCGTCTAGAAAACGCCTACAGGTGGAGAGATGGAAATCCCAGATAATAGGCCAACGGAAAACTTGGTGCCGGACCCGACAGCTCAACCCGCGATAGAGGAAATCGAGAAGACGAAAACACTGGAGGGGGCCGGGACGAGGCAGCCTTGCGGGCGAGTTGTGGGAATCATTCGACGGAATTGGCGGGAGAAGCAGTACTGCGGGTCCCTGCGGGTCGAAGGAGACCGAGCGGTTGCGAGCGGCAAAGGCCAGTCAACGAGTGCTCTTTTCATGCCTGTGGACAGGAAGGTGAACCAATTCGGCATGCATTGCGTTTGTCATTGTCTTGCCTTGTCCAAGTTATTGCGAACGTTTGTATACCCTGCAACAGAGTCTTGTCAAGGTTTATCTTAGTCCTGGATTCAGTTTGCCACGTTCTCTCACGATTCACATGCTCAACTCCTGTGTTGCAGATCCCGTGGGTGCGCATCCAAACCCGCCAACGAGACGTTCTGAGCACCAAAAGAATCCTGGTGGCGATGGACTCGTGGCCGGCATGGTGCAAGTACCCTCTTGGCCACTACGTCAAAACCCTGGGAGAGAAGGGTGCCAAGGCCACCGAGACTGAGGTAGGTGTAATGCGAGTGCTCCACACTACCAGACAACCTCACGACACGGATTTCCATCCGGCCACGGGTTTTGCCATTTAACGTATCCAGGTACTTGAAGAGTGCGGTACTGAAAGCTAGGCGGTGTCTTCTTTGCCTTTTCAACATTTGTTGTGTTTCTGTGCTCACGCCATTTTCGTTACGCTCCAAAGGTGATTCTTCTCGAGCATGAAATACCTCACGAGAGTTTTTCCGGCAAAGTGCTGGCCTGCTTGCCTCCTGAAGACTGGGCCATCACGCCGGAGAACTCAGAAGGTAGAAAGGACCTCCGCCACTTACCTGTGCTGAGCATCGACCCGCCAGGCTGCAAGGACATCGACGACGCCCTCCACGCCCGTCCGCTGGAAAACGGCAACCTGGAGGTAACCCCACCCCCACCAATGTACCTTTATGAAACTACGCAAGAGCGTATCCCCGACACATCGACAAATTGCGAGGACGCGACCAGATAGTCCCATGCTCGGTGCTCATACCCCAGCAGCATCCATCGTATGTCACCTCAGTTTTGTAACTATCAAATGGATCAAGCATATGTTGTTACTCGGCGAAATTTACCACAGGTTGGCGTCCACATTGCCGATGTGACACACTTCGTAGAAGCAGGCTCCGCGCTCGACCAAGAAGCCTCATCGCGTAGCACTTCCACCTACCTGGTGGAGAGGCGGTTGGATATGCTGCCTGGAATGCTCACCGAGACATTGTGCTCGCTCAAGCCGAACGTCGATAGGTGAGATCCGAGTTGTTGCCGCGCGGGAATCATGGTCCGTCCGGCGTTATGAAAGATTGCGAAAGCATGCACCCCCACAACGCTGAAGGCATGTTCACGATGCACACTCTCAATCGGACTTTTTGTTACAGGTTCGCATTCAGCGTCATCTGGGAGATGACACCGGCCGGAGTTATTGTCGACGTCGACTTTTGCAAGTCCATCATCCACAGCGTGGCGGGATTGACCTACAATGAAGCGCAGTTGATGCTAGACGACCCGAACATCCAAGACGTCAAGGCCGAAAGCGTAAGGCGACTGAACGACCTGGCCAAGATCTTCCGCAAAAGGCGTATGGATTCTGGCGCGCTGACCCTGGCTTCACCAGAGGTACGGTAGTGTTGTGTGCCGTGCAGGAAACACACACCCTACATGGAGTTCTTACTCATGTATGCATACTGGGGTATCTACTGTAAATAAACATTGTGTGTTTGTTCTTAAGGGGCTTGTTCGAACTGAGTGTCGAGATGGGAGAGTGATCAGCCGCCCCGTTAGTTCACCCATACTGTGGGATCGATTGTTGAGATGCACTTACGCTCTAATTCTGGCCGCCTCTTGAACTTCGTATGTCCTTTCCAGGTGCGGTTTGTTCTAGACAGTGAGAGCCAAAACCCCACGGACGTACAGATGTACGCCCTGAAGGAAACCAACGCTTTAGTCGAAGAGTTTATGCTTCTGGCGAACATCACCGTCGGCAAGAAGATACTGCGGTGCGTTCCAACCCTATTCTCAACGCTTTCACCTTCACGGCGACGCTCTTGTGCAAATAGCGAAGATGGGTTTAGTATCTATTTCGGTGCAACTTTCGCACCGCTCGCTGACTTGGAAGCAAGAGGTCAACCCGTGTTGCATGTGGTTGTGAGCCGTTCGTGATCAAAGGCACAGGGCTTGACTGCACGTATTTCATTCGATGATACAAGCTCTTTATGGTGAGTAACAGAGAAAGCGCGATAAGCCGTACCAGTAGATTTTAGTATAACACTCCGTGCTCCCGTCCGATCCGAAACGTACAGGCACTTTCCTACTCTATCCGTGCTTCGACGGCACCCTTCACCCTCTCGCCAACAATTCGATGGGCTTCTGGCCATTGCACAAGCAGTGGGAATCAAGCTTGACGTGGACAACTCTAAGAAGCTGGCGCAGTCTTTGGACCGTGCCACGCGCGAGGGCGATCCGTACTTCAACAAATTGCTGCGTATTCTCAGCACGAGGTGAGCGAACATGGTCCATCGGCAGTGGATAATGACGTTTTTGTTGTGTCAGGGATTCTCATTGAAGTGAGGCCGCGATCGCAATTTTGTTGTTATATATAGGGCCAAGAGGGGGTGTCGCGAGAAGTTTCGCTATTTTGTTGCTATTGTGGGCCTCCATCAGCATCGTTAGAGCCACGCCCCGTGTTAGCCATCAACTTTGGTGGAGGCACATTCCATTGCTGTTTCGATTGGCCACCAAGCGAAAGAAGACGCGCCTTTTGCTTTCGTCAGGTGCATGATGCCGGCGCAGTACTTTTGCTCAGGGGAACAGTCTCAGGAAGACTGGCACCACTACGGGCTTGCCGCGCCGATATACACTCATTTCACGAGCCCCATCCGCCGGTATGCTGATGTATGCGTACACCGGTTACTGGGCGCAGCGATCGGAGTGGCACCGCTGCCGGCATTCCTCATGGACAAGGTAAGTGTAGAACTTTGCAGGCTGAGGCACGTTCGCAGCAATGTTGTGACGAGGTGCACACCGGCCAAGGAAAACATTGTGCGGAAAACTTACCAACGAACCCGCCGTGATTGCGTGCGGCAGGCCCTTTTGCACAACCTTACGGAAAACATGAACCGGCGGCATCGGTCTGCTCAACTTGCAGGTAATGGAATGCCTTTACACGGACGTTCTGGCAGCTGCTGTGTGTATGCTGTTGCTTCTACTAGGAGCTGTAGGCTATCCTATCCAACAAACAAACGTGACGGGTTTGTAAGGCTACGTTTTATGGCGTTCCATGTGCTTCCCCACCACACGCGTAGGCAAGCGCAGGTGGTTGTGGCACCGCGTGTAGGACGATCGCAGGACCGCCGCCCCAGATGTAGTGGCTCAATTTTCTCCTCGGCCTGGAATGCTCCAGGACGAGCATCGGTGGGCCTGCACACGGAGATGTACTTCGCTAACAACCCGACCGAGGAGGACGCCTTCGTGCTCTCTGTCGACAAGACCAAGCTTTCTGTCATCGTGCCCCGTTTCGGCATCGAAGGAACGGTGAGCGGGGGCATTGTCTGTTTCGAGCGCAACAACCCTCTCAAGCCCCGTTACGAGTTTTGCGATAAAAAAAGAACGGAGTGTGAATCTCTCGTGTGCGTATTCTGAAGTGGTTTACTCGTGAAGTATGTTGATTCGATACCCCGATGCTGCGAAGAGACAGCAGTTGGCCTTGCATTGCGAACTCTAGTTCTATCAAGGCCACTCCCCTTCACTGATGCGGTCCTCGGCTTCAGCGGGTTCTTTTGTAGCGGAAACGTGGTTTTGGAGTTGTTTGTGGCTAGCCTGGAGAAGAAAGTCGTTCTCTCCTGTTGTTTTCCCGCCGGTTTTCTTATATGCCCTCACGCAGCGTTCCTGAATTTGCGCAACCCGCACCGCTCCTGTTTGGTTGTCGTTGCAGATCGAGCTGGATGCCGGAGACGGCACGTTTGACTTTGACAAACAAGCGCTCAAGCTTGTATATGTGCCCCCTTCTTCGGTTGGGGATGTCGGCCAGACTAGCATCCAGATCATGGACAAAGGTAGGGATGCAACCCACGCGCACGATTGTGGGTGTGGGCTTGCCACTACTCCATCGCGGCTTGCCACTACTCCATCGCGTCGTTTAAGTGTACCTGAGAGCGACCCAACTTTTCCAACAAGTTTTTAGAGAAAGTTTTTAGAGACGCCCCATCCGCACTCTGCTGCTTTCCGTCTGCAGAACATGAGCGTTGTAGCCCCGCACTCGTTCGGTCAAACTTCGGGTTCTCTTGGTAAAAGCCCATCCGTCCCGGCCGCTTTCCATCTTACGCAGTTCGTGTCTTCGTTGACGTGGTGAACAACGCACGACACCAAGGAGCGAGGATGACTCTAATTTCGCCGGTGATGGGCGTCGGCGAGGAGGTCCCTGTTCCTGAACCAGCTATCCCTTCAGGGAAGAGACAGCGGAAAACTAAGGGGCTTTAACGCTGTACTGCGGCAGACAAGTTGAGGAAGACGCTTGCGTACAATTTCCAGCAGTCACTGGGGAATTCGCCCACGCACACACTATGCGTTCCATGTTTCGTTTGCTGTTTAACGAAGAGAGTGCACAGAGGCATGGAATCACTCTTCAAGGTTGAACAGGTTACCCTTGTTACTCTTGGGGGCGCGCTGACTGGCAGTTAAGATTTGCCTAGTCACATGGGGATTATTGATGTGGTCCATTTACCCCGACGCGAAGGAGGGTGTCGCACAACGTTCGAAAAGAAATGAACCCCGCGCGTGCCAAGCAGATGTCAATGCCCTGTATATCTAGCTCGGACGCAGGGCAGCAGCACCTCTCCAAACTCCAAACTGCAAGTTATTCTTTTCACCTCGGTCTGAGTAGAAAAACATTACACTGCTGCTGGTTTGCCAAGCATGCCTTGCTGTATGTAGAGCACTTGCACCACATCACACATGCTCCAACACCCTATACCATGAACAATCTACTTATCTCGCTCAAGGAGCAACAATTGTTACCAGGGCCATGAATAACTGCGGTTGTGTTGGTGTATGCTAATCTCTGAGCAGCACTTATGATCCCGACGGGATTGCCATTTCCGGCTGCAGCCGGTCAAAAGTGTGTTAGCTCACCGATCATTGATTTGTGTTCATTGAAGGGTGGAGGGTGTGAAACATCCGTGGCTGTACGCCTAGGCAGCTCTGCGAGCGACAACAACACCAACCGTCAACCCATCAAATACCCAGGGGAGTCCAAACACCGCGTTGCGGACCGTTGTCAAGCTCCTTGTGGACGTAGAAGGCAGTTAGCTCCCAGAGCTTTCCAAGTGCCCTGCGCTCTCTATCTGCACTTCTTTCCCTTGCCCTCTCTCCCCCAATGCCTGTTAGAGGACCAAATTTCATGGGCGAAACGGAAAGGGGGTCTCATGGCCTTTCCCAGGGTCTGCTGACTAGTCCGGTATCAGGACAGTTTCAAGTAAACCAAGTACGCACGGTGTCATCTGCCCCTTCCCGCTCTTGTCTCAAACGCAACCACACGAGCTTTTCCGCACCCGTCCATCCAACACTTTGCACCGGGTTTGGTATTTTCCGTGGAGACACTGGATACTCTTCGTTGTACATACACGGACGTTCAGGTTGTCCTTCTCTCGATGATGGACACACAATCGCCAACCGTTGCTCCACCACCCTCTAGTCTCCGTCGCAACGCCTCAAATGCGCCCTCGTTGTCCTTGAGCAGTGCTCTGGCCTCGTTAAAAGCCCACTGTACTCGTTCAGAATCGTCTTCAGGGTCCAGTTCGAATCCATCCTCCCTAGGATGAGCGAAAACACGAAGTAAGGCTGGCGTATAACAATCTTCCGATTTAATACTAGGACCGTGCAATTCGTGTAGGCTACATAATAAATTTGAAACTTTGAGGTACCAAGACCTCGGTCACAGGACCCCACCATCCGCCATCACATTGGAAAAATGCCACTACATATCCATATCATGGGCCATCAGCCTAGCATGTTTCCCCTTCTGCTGCAATACCTCATCTGGCACAAATGATGCTCACCTATTTCGGACCATCTGCAGAAACGCGAAGGCTTGACGAGGATCGCTAGCAATCATTTGTCGGTGAACCAGCCCTTCGCCCGCTACCCCGGCCAGAAGCCAAACCAGGATGCGGTGCACGCCGTTGCCATTCAAAAACGTCTCCTTCATGTCGGGATCGGCGGCCATCCTGGCGACAAGTGAGACAACAAGATGAGCACTACGCCCGCTCCACGCATCACGGAGGAAGGTGGCGAATCAGCAGCAACGAAATGCACAGAGAAATACGAGGAATACAACGGGGCAATTGACAAAATGGGGTATACCCCGCGTGTTTGGGCACAAAATGGGGTATACTTTTTTTCGGTGCGGGGTGCAACGCCTGACGACGGGTAGGCGCCTTCAAACCGCCTTCTAGCGCTTCAACCCCGTGCGCCAGGTCCTTAGGAAGGACGCCCAACTTTTTTTTTTGCTTTTCACCCACAGGAACAGGGTTAACTAGGGCCTGGAAGAGGGGAGCTTGTCGGAGGACCCCATTTTGTTCACGAAACCGCGGGGTACACCCCCCTGTCTGCTAAAATTTTGTCTAGTACCCCAAATTCTTCACAAACGTACCCCATGAGTTCAAGGCATACCCCTAATTGTTCAGTCGTGACGCTCCTGCGGACTGTCAAAATGGCAACCAACAACCAACCGCAGACTGCCATATCTCTGTATCTTCTGTCTCGTTGCCTCGCCGCAGACCACAACAAAGTCTGCATGTTGAACCGCAGACCACCATACCCCAACATCTTCTGTCTTCTTACCGCGCCGCAGACCGCGAAACCTGCGTGTTGCACCGCAGACCACCATACCCCAACATCCTCTGTCGCCACACCTACGGCAGTCTGCGGGTAGTTGTTGGTTGCCATTTTGACAGTCCGCAGGAGCGTCACGACTGAACAATTAGGGGTATGCCTTGAACTCATGGGGTACGTTTATGAAGAATTTGGGGTACTAGACAAAATTTTAGCAGACAGGGGGGTGTACCCGGCGGTTTCGTGAACAAAATGGGGTCCTCCGACAAGCTCCCCTCTTCCAGGCCCTAGTTAACCCTGTTCCTGTGGGTGAAAAGCAAAAAAAAAGTTGGGCGTCCTTCCTAAGGACCTGGCTCACGGGGTTGAAGCGCTAGAAGGCGGTTTGAAGTCGCCTACCCGTCGTCAGGCGTTGCGCCCCGCACCAAAAGAAGACCCCATTTTGTCCAGTGCCCAATATAACGTCTACACCCACCCATTGTTGGATATACACACCGGAGGGCCTCAACCGCACTGGGCTGGAAGGCGAAGCATGGCAGACCCGTCATATACGCTGTCAAGAAGGCTCCGGCCTCTGCCCGGCTCTCGCGCTCGACGTCCTTCAGAAAGAGCCTGTTCATGCCATTAAGAACCATCTTCGAGGTGCAACCGGACCTCTTCCATACATCGATGCCCACAGCAGCCGCAGTTACCGCGCCAATCACCGTTGGTATGGTAGTATCGTAGTGCATCACTTGTCCAATTCCTTCCCAGGAAAAATCAGAGCCGACCAGCACCATGAAAGATGCGGCATATCCTATTTCTTGGGCTCGGTCGTCATCGGGCACCTAGGGATGGCCAAGCGCACGCCAGCAAGTCGAATGCACGACCACAGACGGTTGTCACTCAGGTTGTTTAGTGGCCACCTCGAAAACGTTCACGTCAGTCTCATGTTGGTAGCAAACGAACAAATCCGCAACAAAGCACTACCTACGGGTGGGTGACAAACGGTGCTGACCAACAAACGGGTTCGGGGTGTGCGTTCAGCCAGAACACAACAAGCAGTGCACTGCTTGCTGCTTTCACCGCAACAGGGGGTGAGGATGGAGCGTGGATCTTTGGCTGCCTTCCGATTGCCCATGAGCATCCCATAACTTAGGCCTGAACACCACGGAGCGCATAATGCTGGCAGAGGGAGATGTATAGACTTACCGGTACAAGGCCCCGAAGAGCCTTCTCCTTCTTCGAAGCTTCCGTCGGCAAGAGAGACAATCGCCCGAGATCGCGGGAAAACTTCTGCCCAACCCCAGCTCGTCGAATTTTTGAGAAGACTGCCGACAGACACAAATCGGACAAAGTGTGCGTGAGGTTATGTACTTGTACAGGTTATAAGACTGACCGCTTCTGTGCGTGCGGCAGTTCAAACAACATTTGTTGCGATGTGGAAGCAGTATGGTTTGATTCCCACTACAATCTTGTTCTGTGAGGCGTTGAACCCACGGACCGCAGGTAGCACCCCAGTCACAGATGTTGAGCGCGTGTTCAACAAAATATTTGCATGGAACCCTGCCGTGCATAATAGGTGGTACATACGTACTGCTACCATATAGTAGGCGGACACATAGTGTACTGGTACCAGGTGTGACCCAAAAGTATGAATATGTGAGATTCAAAATAGAGGGTGTGGGTGGTATCCTTACGAAACTGACCGACACCTGGGTTTGTTGAAGGGACCGCAAGCCCACTGCTCAGAATATAAGAAACACTATGCAGTTCACACCTTTCGTAATAATGCCGATGTCCGTTGTAGCCGTGGCAGCATCGACCACGGCCGAGGCGGTCCGTATTGAGCACTTGATCCTGTTGGCGTGCATTTCGTCAAGGAGTTGAAATACCTCCTCAAACGCGCCCCGAGCGGCGTCCCCGACCTTCTTCTTGCCCATCACGATACTCGACACACCTTGCAGCACAGCATTATACTTTTCGTTTTCCCCAAGACCTTCCATCACGCGCTCTAAGGAAGCAGTCTTCACTAACCCCCCGCCAGCGGCAGTGGTAGCAGCCTTGCACCGCCAAGAAGGCGGAGGTGTACAGGACGGTTTCCGCAGACAGCGAGACCGGACATCAGGTGGGAGCATGCGATCATACAAGCTCATGCGGCGAATGTCGACCAAAACTAAAAGGGGATACACTACTTTATCCCATGAAAGAATCGCCCCGCGAGAACAAAAATACAAAGATACATACCGCTGTAGGCAGCAAGGGTACTGCCGTAGTGTAGACGCACCTGTATTCGTTGCTTCTCTAGATGGTCCACACCCCTCGCTGTACACATCAACTGGGAACCATCACGAGAGACGTGCTCCTTCGTGACGCTAGTTGGGCTCACAACACACACAAAGGCCCTAGCGAGGCTTTCGCATGTGGCCAGTGCATAGAGGACATACACCCACCACGAGTTCATCTGGCTGAGTCCGATGCTGTCAGCAGGGGCAAGCACGAACTGCTGTGCATGCAACTTGACTGAAAGAGGGCGCGTAGGGGGGCCGGCGAATGGGATCATCACCCATGCCCCCATTATATGGATATGTCTCTGTGCCTGTGCCTTCGCGCGAAAGTGGTTCAAATTCGCACAACTGGCTATGCAGTCACCAGCAAATAGGGCCTTGGCTGGTAGCAGGATGGTCGGAGAGCTTGGAGACGGTGAATCAGCCACAGATGGCATTCCTCAACAGCTTGCTCATGACTTGATTCACCTCATGGCCCACCAGAAAATGGTGGTGGAAACACAGCACATCCTCTCACGATGCCATAGCGACGACGCCATTGTTGTCGTTGGCAGCGACGTCAAGCTACGGTTGGACATCCTCGCCATCGACGAAGAGCTCGAAAATGCCTTGCTCAATCATGACCAGAAGGACCCGTCGAAGCCCTTTGAGCGCCTTCTTGAGCGGTTTGATATCCTCGTGAGTGCACGGACGGTCGGACGGTTATTTGAGTTGGATTTACAGCACCCATCCGGGGCTGCTCGAGAGCGGGACACCTTGTAACGTAGCACTTCCTGGCGCCATGGTTCCATCGCGAATAGCTTGAGTGGACAGCAGTCTGTCTCTTCATACGAGTTTAAATCGTTCCAACCACGCACACACCAATTGGTGATGGGAAAAAATAGTACACGGCGTCTGGCCGTTGTAGCTGTGTCCTAGTCACTTGCACTTGACAAACCTCTTCGTAAACAGCTTTATTTATTTAGAAATTCAAATATCTGTAGATTTGAAAAACGAGTGATGTATTGTAGGGCTGGTGATGTACTGCTGCTGTAGACTTCGTTCCACCTTCCATGTTTTTTACAACATTATTCCTAATATGTCTAATAAACCAGCAAGCTGTCAATAGACACTGCGCCGTGTCCCCTGTGAAGGTTGCATTTTACAATACACGACACAACGGAGGGATTCTCCCCGATATTTTGTCGTTGACCCAGTAGAGAACTACAGGGGATGTATTGTAAAATGTAAGTTACCTATACAGATGTTTTTGTACTTAGCACCAGCTGGCATCACTGGTATAAATCATCAGTGTATAGACTTAAAAGACTCGAAATAAGTCCAGTACCCAGCCGGTTTCCCTCCACTCACTGAAAAGACTCCACCACATCCCGTTCGACTGTGGGTATATCTCGAATGGGTAGTCTTTCTGTGTGTGTTTTTATTATTCCTTAATATATTTCGATCGACACATGCAAGTAATGCAACGGACTAACGGCTGCGATGTACACCTGGTGCTTGAAGCACAGCAGTTATCAGGCGCAATCACAGAAACCAATATAAGAACATTAACTACTCTGCGCTCCCTCTTTTTTCCCATCTGCACGGAACGAACGCTTTGCTCTCTGCCAACATGTTGCTAACATAGTTTGGACAGGAAAACGAGTCGAGCGCCGTAGGATGTTTTGAATTTTGAATTTTGGGCATACGGCAAGAGACACATTCGACATGCGTTTTATCCGCGGGGGGTTTCGGTTTCGTAAGACGGTTGGTCGAACCCACTACGTGCTGTGTTCTGACAGTCAACGCGGCGGTACCCTCCAACGCGGCCTCTCGAGTCAGCTTTCAGGGTGGGTCTCGTCACCGGACTGCAAGACTGGGTTGATAGACTGCCGTATTTGTTGCAATTTTTTAGCTATTAGTAATTTTTGTGGTTCCCGTCACCGTCCCCGTCCCCGTCCTTTGCTTCCTGGTCAGCACAAGAGCCTGGCGAACACCGACAGTGCGATCATCACGGAAAGGTGGCCTCAGATGAGAGCTGCTCTTGTGCGACAGGTAACCTCGACGTAGCTCAAGTCCATAAATCCGTGAAACATGCTCATGACGCTATAATACTGTCGCATGTACCCTTCTTGCGTTAAACGACGAAGGTGCATCGCATAGCCGCGGAAGTTGTGTGCGTGTCCCCGAATTGGGGTTTTTCAGTCACAGTACCCTTCCCGACCCGACGCGAAGAAGACGAATGCTTCGTGCTCGACGGCCGTCTTTCACTGTCTTTAACAGTAGTTTTCCCGACTCTCGTCCTCAATGGTGGCCAGGCTGCGCTCTCCTGTTTCCTAGCCCAACAAAGGAATCACGCTAGGCCGGAGCCCTTTGACTGGGGCAGCGTCTGTACGAAGGCGTACATCAAGGTCGTAGACCGACTCATTCCACAAGTGGATTTCGATCTAGACGCGCTTGACGATGAAGAGCAAATGTCCGCATCGAAGGAGAGGCGGAACCTAACTGACGTGTTCAAAGAGAAGCACTGCAGCGTAAGCAGCATCAAGCTTCGCACATTGCTCAAGGTGAGCAGGCGCTGGCGATGGCCCTCGCATGCTAGGCGCAAGATTGACTCGGCCAACCCTGTCCTCGCCAGGCTGATTATGGTCTTGCATGTTCATGACCAAATATTTAGTCTCTTGCGGAGATGTCGCGATTGTCGTCGCAGGTTGCGAAATATCTGTTGTCTCCGCTCGCGCGATGTGTAAGCCCCATATCTTTCCTCCTGCTCACATGTACCAGGAGAACAAGGTTGGTACCTTCGAGAAGGACATGAAAGCGTTTACGCGAGCATTGGATCAAGCGCTGCTTCCGAGGCCGAAACTCCTCACGGTAAGCTGTAAGAGTCTCGATGACGTAGTGTCACCGATTATGTATTGTGACTAGTCAACGGCGAATTCGAGAGAATCATGACGCGTTGATCTATTTCCGCACCACCCACTATGGTCACAAGCATGTCGTGAAAGTAGCCCCAGCTTCGGTATATAGTACATGACTGCCAGTTCTGTGATTTTGACCATGACGTGTTCCTCGTTTGTTGTCGATTGCTGTTGTTGAAGAAGTCTTCACACCCCTTTCTGCACCCGTCTTTTGGGCACTTCAGTGTGTATTTCCGTGGAATGGTTCTTCAGCGTTCTCCATGTGTCCTAGCCATGCTGCCGAGCTCCAATAGGCGACAACATGGTTGTGGAACGTTCCATGCTGTGGGTTATTTTGATAATCTCGCGGTGACTACAGAGCTTGTGGTGACTTGTTGCGTCTCCGAGTGTCGGTTTCGGTACCTTTAGTCTGGCCTTTTGCTGCTGGTTCGCTCTTTAGTGCATACTCTGGGCAAGTTTGAATGTGCGCGTGATGCTTACATGAGTATTGTATGAGATAACACAAAAATGCAGGACGTCAACAAGTGTTTTGGGTATGGCTAGCTTGAGCTTCCGCAACCCGTCTCTGACCGAAGCGTAGATATTTGCTGATTCGCAATAGATCCAGCACGCAATCCTTGCTCGTGTCGTTCACAGATGTACAGCAACGACGGCTCCGACATGAATGTGGTGGACATGACGGATGGCCGTCAAGTTGGACTCCAGGGCTCCACTAGCAAGCCTCCAATGAGAAGTCCAGCGAGAAGTCCGGTGAAGCGGTCGGCGAAGAGGAAGGCGGTCTCCCCAATGCCAGCTACCGAAGAGACACCGCCTACTGCCCAAGCATTGGCGAAGGTATGCAGAGACTTAAGGTCCTCTCCGTGCCTTGATTCATTCGTTGGTTATCGCTGTTGTTAGTTTGGTGTTTTTGATCTGTGCCCAGAAGTTCTTTTACTCGGGAGGGAACATACGGACTGTGGCTGCTGGGGAAAGAAGCTTGCGTGGAACTTCAGAGTGAGAAACCTCTTCGCTACCCCGCATTCCATGTACGATAGTATCATCTTGGTGGCATTGTGATGCCGCCAAAGATTAGAGAGTCATCGCATACTACGTCCGTATCACCCGTCTGGTTTGCATTTCGAAGTCCTGGGTCACTCATGTAGCACCGCGAACACGCGGCAGTTGGCGATTTTTTGCTTCCGTTGACAAAAGTGGAATCGCTGTATGTTCTAGCCAGACCCGGAAACCGCCATGGCCTTCATAGACGGCCTGTGGCCCTTAGAGCCACGCACGAAGCGTGGGCTGTAGGTTCCCTTTGCCATATGCCATACCGTGCCAGACACATGGTCTTCCGTGCATACACGCTTGGATCGTGCAGGCCAACGAGGGCCTCCAGCAAGAACTAAATGACCACCGCCCCGGTACGGTGTCCGAAGCGCTCGCCATCAGCGAACGCTTACCCCCGCCAAGCAGCCCAGCGGCCAAGCGTGCAGCCGTCGAGGACAACAGTGGCGGACCAGCTGACAAAAGGTGCGCCTTCCAGGTTGCTGAACATGAACATGTACGCTTGGGCAATGTAGTGACTAACTTTACCTTACTCTCAACACGCTACAAATATGCCATCGGCTCATTTTGACCACACCGTCATGCAATCGATGTCCAGGCCTGGAAGAGCCCCTTCGAGGAGGAGCGGAAAATCTGTCACTAGGAGGGAATCTCGGGGCGAACAGGTATGCACGTCGCATTGCTACCATCCATCGCGCTGTTTTTTTGACCGCACGCCGAGATGCTGACATACGTTTTAAGTGCAGCGGGTACAGATCCTCAGCGCAAAGACATATGAGAGTCCAAGCCCAAGTCTGGCAAATACTGTGATCATTTGTAACCAACAGGGAACCGGCTTGGTACCGCGAGTTCGGTACCCGGTGCCGCCCTCACGTTCCGTTACCACGTTGCTCGCATCTACTGCCTAGCTGACCTTCCGCTGCGTGCCCCGCTCCGACCGCACTCATATAGGTGGACTTCGACGATTCGCAGAGCGTAGACGAGCCCCAAGAAGCGAGGGCTGCGCTTGGCGACCGCCCATCGGTGAGCGTGGGTACGCGTCGTGTGTGTAAAGAAGCAGCTCTGTTCTAGCTGGTGCTACGTTCTGTCGTAACAACATTGGCTGTCCGTTTGGTTTTCCTACACGACAGCTGTTGAATCTTGCATTTGCTGGAGGCTGAACGAGATAAGTGCAACGCAATATTACGATCGATTTCTCTCTGATCTCTGTTACACATCACAACTTGCACTGAACTCCTCTTGTTGTTACGTTGTCCGCGTGCTTGTCGCTTGGTCTGCCTTGCAGCCGGCGAAAGCGGCGGCGCTTCCCTCCGCCTCTGGCAAGGTAAAAGCCAAGAAGAGAAGCGGGCCCAGGACTCGCCACCCTTGGACAGAGGAAGAAGTGAAGCATCTCAAGGCTGCGGTAATGGCGCTGGGAAGGGGCAAGTGGTCCCTGGCTTTGGCGCAATACAAATTCCAGGATTGCCGTACTGCCGTAGACCTGAAGGACAAGTGGCGCAACCTCACCAAGGACTGAGCCGACGTGACCGTACGTTATTTCTTGTTTGTATCCACGTGAAGTTCGGCAAAGCCAGTACACGTCAACGCCGGATATGTACAACACATGGACTGATTCTGTACTGGTGTCATTCTTTTAAGTCTCGCAATTGGCAGGCACCCCTTCCATAGCGCACCAACCCCGCACCATCTGTGTTGTGCTTCAGGCATGTAGAAATGTATTTATCCTTGCTTGTTTCCGTTGGGGATTACTGCTTTAGAAGATGCCTGTATAGCAACGGCTGTCGGCGGAGGTCAGTCTTGTTTTAGACTCGCGCAGTTAGGTTGTCGCACCCGTACAAGTAAGATTTGAACGTCTCGCCACTGCTGTGGTTGTGTTGTCCGAAAATGATTGAGTGCGCCGGAGTTACAGTTCCACGGGGCGCTCCAAGCAGCTGACCCGGGTCCTCCTCTCTGTTTGTAAGCTAGTGTATCGGCTCTCGTTGTTTTTCAAGAAACTTCTCCGCAGTACAACAGAACTCCGTATCATATCGTGTTTCTGCCATATCTCCTTTCCGAGGCTGTTTGGAAATTTGCCTATTTAGTCCGACCACAACAGTGGGTTGTTACAGCTATCCTTTTCTTTTCGTTAAGCTCTCCCCTTGTACGAACACCATGCAGCGACGCACAAGCGGACACATCGAGCCATGGATACAAGATGCAGTAGATTCCCGTATCTCCATCAGGCGTCTAGCTTTACAGCCGTCTCAGTTGGTCTCAGATGACGCGAAAACCATGAAACGCCGTATACGGTTGCCTCCGAAAAAAATAAGATAACAGCAGTGTTGCGCGAGGTCGGAGGTATGCAGTACGCCCTTCCATCAGCTATTATTCCTTGTGCGCATACTTGTTCGGAAGTTTCCGCGAGGAAAAACAGGCTCTGGTCGACGAATAGGAAAAACAGAGTAAACACCAGGCTGCAAAAAGTGTTTGGGCTCGGCCGCCCCCGTCTAAATCCCAAAGTAGCTTAGCAACAGGCTGTGCCCAGAGGTTGAGACACCGTAAGGGTTTGTGTGAGCTTTTCTGAAATTAAGTTTTTCGTATGATGAGCGGGTCGGCACGCTGCTTGTCTGTAATGGGCTCGACTCAAGATTTACAAGTTTGAATTGCGGTTCACTGCTGTGCTGCTGTGCTAATATGTGTACATACAGAACGCGCCACCACTTAAGAACCGCGTATTTAGCTTGAGGCTCGACGCTTATTGGTTACCTCCAACCGAGCACATGTTCTTATTTTCCAAGTTCTTATTTGGAGCAGGTATCCACCTATGGTAAACGAGGTTCTTGTTCTTATTTCTATACCGATTGCCGTATGCAGAGGACACAGACAGGTCTTTCTGCGTGGATTTCATCGCGAGACACTACTGCTGTAAGAGTACAATGTAGCCGTAAAATCGCCCCCTAGGTGGCAGTGCCGCATGTACGGTATGGGAGAGGAGAGGTTGCCGAGAAAGGCTTAGACTAGGAGGCGAAGTGGACAAACAAGAAGAATTGGTGTACCAACCTACGGAGTGAGTTAATGTCGTAGATGACGCATGGAAGGGGGTCCAACGTGACAAAGGTGATACACTGGAGAGGGGAGGTCTAGAGGGGTTCAAGGAGAAGATATCTGTTGTTGCTTTGGCGAGAGAGAAGGACAGGATCAAACCAAAGAAACCAAGGACACGGAGGGTCTCGATGTGTACGGAATATCAAAGAAGGAATATATTTAAAGATTGCCTACATGGAGGGCCAATGGATGCAGAGACAAAGCTGAAGGTCAAACCTAGGACTGGGGATGTTGAGAACGTAGACGAAGATTGGGGAAGGTAGACGATGAAGACGACAAACCCAGGTGTGATTGCCGCTCCGAGGGCGAAGACCATCTTCATGTACTTGCGGAATGTCCGTGGTACAAGGAGAGGGAAATGTACATGACTGAGCTAGCTGGGAAAAAAAGTAGAAGGAAAAAGTACAGAAAGAAAGACAATTGACGAATGTAAATAGCCAGGAGAAGACGGTAGCTGTACCGGGGCATAGGAAATGGGTTGGAAATAAAGCGGAAAGTGATACCGATGGGAAAACATGTTTGAGCGACCTTTTTGGCAACGCAGGAAGGAACGATTGGCCATCGGTGATCGAACCTGTGGGAACAATGCTCCGTCCTGTCGAGGACGCGTGGTCAACGGTCTAACCGCTAAGTAAGGCTGCCAAAACATGAGAGAGAGTACACCCCCCTTCGGATCCAACTCCTACGATCGGGAAGAGGCGTAAGTAGGTTAAAATGGCAGGTAGGCCGTATGTTGTACGATGTGGGAGAGGAGAGATTGCCGAGAGAAGCCTGGGAGGCGAAGTGGACAAACAAGAAAAATGGAGGTACCGACCCGGAGGGAGTGGATTAAGGTTGTAGACGGAGTAGGAAGAGTTCAAAATCGATTAGGCTGGTACATTGGAAACGAACGGTAGATCTAGAGGGGTTCGAGAACAAGAAGAAATCTGCTTCTTTCGCCGAGAGAGAACACCATATAACAAAAGGATCCAAGGATAAGGAGGGTCTCCATGTGTACGGATGTTGAAAGAAGGTATAGGTACCTACTACATGGACCATGGATGCAGGGAGAAAGCCGAAGGTCAAATTTTGGAGAGGGGAAAACGGCCTTCGAGAACATTGACGAAGATTATAGGAAGGTAGACGATGAAGACTAGTTCAATGTGAATGCGACTCCGAGAGCGAAGATCGGGTTCATGTCGTTGCGAAACGTCCGTGTTGGGCGACAAGGACAGAGAAATGTACATGACTGAGTTGGACATGTAGAAGAAAAGGTACAGGGAGGTGTTTGAGGCATGGAATAGCCAGGAAAAAACGGTGGTAGCTGTACTGGGGCATAGGAAGTGGGTTGAAAAGGCGGGAAGTGATATCGATATAGGGTAGATCGGCTAGGGAGAACATGGTTTGGCCACGTTTGACAAAGTACTTCGAAGTGGGAAGGAACGATTGGCATCAGTGATCCTGTTGGAACATGGATGCGTCCTCTCGAAGACGTTGGTCAATTGTCCTATTTACCGCTAAGGCATGCGAAACATGAGAGAGAGTACGCTCTCCCCCTCCGCGCGTACAAGAATTCATCACGAGGTCCTCTCTCTCTCCCCCCCCCCCGCCTCGAATCAGAAACTAACTATGTTTGGGCCACCCCCAGCCTCCTGAGTTTTTATCTTGCAGCCGCCGCGTTTTGGGGCTCCGTTCTTATCTCTATGCGCATTGGTACACCGAGCGGGTTCTTGTTCTTAATACAACGTCGGGACTGAGCATATGTTCGTATGGCCAAGTTCTTAGATTTTGGATTGTTTGAGGCTCAAGTTCTTAACTGCTCAGTTCTTAAGTGGTGGCGCGTTCTGTACAACACATACAAGAAGAGGTTTATTGCTAATGATGCTCGAATACATTGCGCTATTTTCTTCTCACGGCATTCACTTCCAACACCCGAACCATGCTGCTGTATGTAAATTGCAGGGTACCGCAGAGTCCCATCTTGCCTGCCTGGTGCTTGAAAAAACGTTTTGCGATGAACGGGTTACCGCAACAAAACATGTCCAACCACCTGCGCTCGTTGAGTGTAGCGGGGGCGGATTGCATGTGTCCTTGTAGTCATGCCCTGGTGATGCATGGTTCTACTGCTCTGTAGAGGCACCTGAGAGCTAGCGTGAGAGCGAACTACAGTACTGCTGTATGCAGAGTACCTTTGCCTACAAGCGAGCGGGGCAGGGGAGAAAACATGATTTATGCCCCCTTCGGGCGACGCCTGCTAGTGCGTCAAACGTGTAGAAACCCGCCGCATCTCGCAGCTCGCAGCTCGCAGCTCGCAGCTCGCAGCCCCAGATAAGTTGCACAAGCAGTAGATAGCGCATTTGCTAGCCTGCTACACCTGCAACAAGTCTTTGGTGCGGTCACCGCCTTACTCTGCTTGCAGGCTCTCGCATGCTCAGTGCCAGGTTTTTGGGAAGTCGCACGTCGAGATCATCAATACTGCGTCGCAAGCTGTCAATGGCATCCAGCGGTCCCTCTGTGGACCAGCTCCCACCACCGCCGCCGGGACATCGGTTGCTGGTGGAGGGCCAGGCCGCGATCCCGTTTTCGGAGGGCAACGAGGTCTTCTACAATAAGGTTCAAGAGTTCAACAGAGATCTCTCTATCCACGTCATCAAGCTCTTCGCCGAAAAGCGTCTCCAGGAGAAGACCGAGAAGGCTCTCCGCAAGACGCGAAAGGTGGGAAAAGCGCGTTTCGGTGACGTGTGACGTTCACCCTGTACCCCCCTGTGTAGTGACATGCACCCTGAGCCCGTCCTTGTGTGTGGATTCAGCGGCACTTCCTGCAACAGCAGGACAGCAGTTTTTCGTCGCGGTGACAATTTAAAAGAGAGGGTTCATTTGGGTTTATGTGCATTCGAAAACGCCACCACTGCGACTAATATGTTATTTTTTCGTGTTTTATTGCTTGCGCCCACGACGAGGTCCATGTGCTCATGTGCCGTAAGCGCGTGGATTGAACACTTTCCCTACCCCTACTCTCCCATGTTACAGAGGGAAGGGGCTGAGTTTACGGCACAAGACCTCGAAGGTTTGGATGCCACAGACTGGAGTCAGCGTGCGGCCGATAGTGCATCGACGGATGGCATACAAATCCTCGACGCGCTTGCAGCTACCGCCCTGCGCTCCATTCGATACGTGAAGGAGATCCCTGGGGTGAAGGAAGTTGTTGTCAATGACCTCGACGAGGCGGCTGTGCAGGCTGCGCAGAGAAACATAGACTTCAATCAGGTGGACGTCTCGAAGATTCGTGTGCAGCAGGGGGATGCCATCAGCGCGATGCACGCAAGCTCGGCGGCAAAGCAGCGTTTCGACGTGATCGATCTGGATCCCTACGGTTCTGCTGCCCCATTTTTAGATGCTGCCGTGCAGTGTGTGGAGGAGGGGGGACTGTTGTGTGTAACTTGCACAGATATGGGAGTGCTCAGCGGGGGGCACCCAGAAACTTGCTATGCCAAGTACGGGAGCATGCCCACCAAAGGAAAGTATCTGCACGAGATGGCTCTGCGAATTGTGCTGCATGCGCTCGAGGCTCAAGCTAACCGGTACCGCCGCCACGTTGTCCCGGTGCTCAGTCTCAGCATTGACTTCTACGTGAGACTCTTTGTGCGGGTTTTCACTTCTGCGGCGGAGGTCAAGAAAGCCTGCACCAAGGCGGCATATGTTCACCAAAGCTTAGGGTGTGGCTCGTTCTTCCTTCATCCGGTGGGCAAGATGTCCAACAACAACTACAACCCGTCGTTGACCACTGGCGATGGGTTGTGCCCTCAGACCGGCAAGCGGTTCAAGGTTGGCGGGCCTATCTGGAGCCCTGCCATCCACAACATGGAATGGGTACGGCTTCTGCTAGACCGTGTGCAGAAGAATCGCGGACCGTATCAGCCGTCCACTAAGAAGCGCATTCACGGAATGCTGACGTCCGTGTCCGAGGAACTGCCGGACGTTCCGCTCTTCTATTCGCTGCCCGACATGTGCTCAACGCTTCACTGCAATAGTCCACGGATGATCGACATGCAGGCAGCCCTCGTCAACGCAGGCTTTAGGGTTTCCCAACAGCACAAAGAGCCCCAGGCGGTGAAGACGGACGCTCCGGACGACGTCGTGTGGGATGTCATGCGCTGTTGGGTAAAGAAACACCCAGTAAGCGACAAGCGTAAGACCAGTTCCCCAGGTCAGGCAATATTGTCTAAGGATCCCAACCATCAGGCTGATTTCACGGTACCTTCCGGGCTTTGGCAAAGGAAGACAGCCACCAGGTATCAGCAAAACCCGGAGCCATACTGGGGGCCTAAGTCTCGGGCCACCGGCAACAAGCGAGGGGCCGAGGAAAGTTGCGGACCGTCTGAAGGAGCACCCGAAGACAAAAGAAACAGGAAAGAAGAATCGCCTTCTTTGGAAACCAAAGTGGATGAGACTAGATAGCCTTTTGTCTTGTTTTACGTGTGTTGTGTAAGGTACAAATACGCACGCGTGTGGGTGCATGTAGACGCCACAACGAATTGCCAGATGTGGGCGGTATGCATAGTTATGTTGTCGACTCCACTCAGCAGGAACGATCGCACGTTGCGTGGCTACCGTAATAGTCGGAGAGATGGCACCGGTCGGAGAGATGACGCCGGTTGAAGAGATGGCGCCGGTCGGGGAGATGGCACCGCGGTGCGCAGAAAAATACCAGAACGGCATAATTCGGTCTCTCCGACTCCCAAATCCAAGATTGAGCTCCATTTCAGCCGCCGGAATGAGGTACATGTGCGTACCTTTTACACGTGGGGACGGTGTCGGCGGAGCGCCACTCCTGTATGTACGTATGCATGGTCTTTCACGCGGGATGCCAGTTGTTTTCATTTTTTATTTGGTATGGAAGTTGCCAACCGTACACTCCACGAAACACACAATGCGCAAGCCGAACCCTACCCCACTTTGCACAACACGAACAAACCACCAGTATGTACTGCTGCGTACGTACTGGTACCTGTAGAGGAAGCCCGAAACGAAAGCGGGAGATAACTGATGCCGTATGTACCGGTACATCAGATGGAAACGACATTTGGTTGTTGTCAAGCCAGAGTGGAACTCGCATCAAACACAAGTCCACGCTGCATGGAAAGCGGTCACGTACCAGCCTACGTTGCCGTTACCGGTGTGCCTCAAACTAGCAACGATGCCTACACGCGGTTCTATGCTGATATCAATACTAGTACAGACAGATGGCACCGGGGTGCGTGCGTACAACACCTGTGTGTATTTCATCGGGGATCGCACCGGTCGGAGAGATGGCACCGGGTGCCTTGAAATGTAAACAAAATGGTTTCATTGCATTTCCGCACCGGGGTCGGAGAGATGGCACCGGGGTGCGATAAAAAACCCGTGGAAACAATATTAAAAACACGATCGCACCCGGTGCCATCTCTCCGACTATTACGGTAGTTCGGTGCAGAGGCATATCGTTCATCTCTGTACCTTGTGTTGGCATCACCGAACGGGGTGTGGCAAGTCGGGACGACTTGAATTTTTCAGAAATACGCATCACTCCATTCCACCAAAGGCAAGAAGTGCTTAACCGGGAAAACGTTTCGCCATTTACACTCTTGCAAACTGGAGGGGCGGAAGGCCCTTGTGTAGTCGAAGGCATCATCAGCACATAAAACGCAAGCAAACAGGAGCCAATCCTTTTTGGTCAGTTGGTCAGGAAGCCAACCCGAGGGGACTCAAGTCCCCGAAAGTGAGCATCTACGTTTTATTTGATGTCGCAAGTGCTGACGGCCAGTACAAGTGGCGTGCCTGAACGGAATTGAGCGTGCTGGCAGTTGGATCCGGAGTGCCCTACATGTGCAAGCAATCAAACGGCGCTCAGATCTCGCTGTGTCCTAAAGCTGCAATTTAACTGCTCCCGCACTCAGATCTCGCCGATTCATTCGGGCTTGTGTCCATGCGTAGACCGGCTCTTTTTAGGCCGCCGCGTTGTGTCCGATACAGCGTTGTCCAAACCCTTTTTACCTCTCAATTCCTCCCTCTCTCCTGGTTCATATCCTTTCAAATGAGCCCCGAAAGCTGATGAGTGTGCCATCACAATGCCACCCGAAGTTTGGTCACTGGCTCAGTAGCGACGCCAATGCCGGTGACACCGTTTACTGCTCTTCGTCACAAAACCTACATACAGCTACGAACTTTTAGTCCTCCACCCAAACCCACCTCCACCAGCGAGCTCACCGTTGCGAACTATGTGAGGATAAACATGACCCTAAAAAACAAACGCAGAGCAATTTCCTATTTGATATACTTCGTGAGGAAGCGGCGGTGGAAATCATTACGGATGGTATCGTTCACAAATCTCTTCTTTGTCTCTGGCTCGGTCCTTGCTTGCCCTTTGAAGACCACGTCGTCGTTCCATCTGTTGATATCAAGAGACGCGGGGTGGAAAACGTCACAATTTTGTGCCTTTCGTTTTCAAAAATTGTTCTAACCAAACCTACTTATGCATGCACATATTGGCTTGGCTCCCAGATGGGGTAAATAGTTGTCCTTCCTATGTTGCCAGGACGGGCATCGTGAAATCGCCACCTCTGAACCTCCCTTGAGTCCACACAACGGACGTGCTCACCTTCGCTTGACTTGTGAACTGCTGTTGCTCTGAGTGAGTAGAATGTTCCCCGTCATGGCTGCTTCCTGCATGACCGTGGAGTACAGAAAATTACTTGTGAGCTTTCAGCAGACAAAAGAGCTTAACGGCTGGTATTGTCTATTACTACCTCCTTTCGTATTCAAACAAAATCATGCTCCAATGACACCACTTTTGACGGGAGCATAAAGTTGCGAGATAAGTTTAACTTTTTTGGCAATTTCTTGTCGGGAACTTTTTGTCACAAACACTTTGAAAATTTATTGCACGCTCACATGGGGCGAAGGAAGTTATCTTCACGGGACTGGTGGAATGTGGAGGCGTGATCATTTATTTTTCAGCAACGGCGAGAAGTACCACACCCGTTCACAAAACATCGCGAAACCGGCCAGAGCATGCAACAAAAGCTTGGATTACGAGTTGGTGGCAAAAAACCTGGCCTTGTGCTTTCCAATCGCAGCCAGGAAGACCTCAATCATACTCACATCCAATCTAACTTGTTGATGCAGAGTTTACAAATCTATGTTGTTTACGTATTCTACACAGCTGCTGCCATCGCAGGCAATTCCAATTCGCCGTTCAAGTATTCTGACTTGGCCGTTTATCAATCGCGCGGATCGTGCGCGTGTGTGTGGCGGAAGAGGGTCTACGTGTGGTAACGGGCAGTTGCTTGACGTGGATTGGCGGAAGCCTCGCCGCGAAACTTTTGTTCGACAATTTGATCGCGAGAAAGTTTGCACACTTCTGCTCCAGATCGCGCGATTATTGTCAAAAGCTTTTCCAAACGTTTGGCGCATCTTTTTGCTCCCGTAAAGACGTTACATGAGAAAAGTTGAGAGAAAAGTTTACAAACAATTTAAATGTTCTCGCACCTTGTGCTCCCATACAAAGCGGTGTGATCGGTTCAAGTCTGCGACAGAGACGAACATCTCAATCGGAGCCTAGTAGATCCTTACCTGCTTTCTTTTTTCTTCATCTTCAGCTTCTTCGCGCTCCTGTGATGGGGGGCCCCGAGGACAAAATGGTGGGGCAAATATCGTAAATAAAATGCCATTTCAAACTACTGTAGGACGAGCTACCATAGCTCGCTGACAACAAGTCAGCGTTCGGGCAAAAGCTATCATCTGTGTGGAGTATTGAGAAGCTACATCTACAAAGTGCACCATCATTTGCATGCTATCTTTGCGACCAACAGAATTTTTCAACAAGACCTTCGCAGAGTGCATCAATCCTGACACCGTCGTGACACCATCGCGCGGCACATATATCAACCTACGGTAGTAACGCCCTCATATGCATATGTGCAGCGCGTTGATTGGGTGTCCTACAACGGGGTACAAGAACAACCAGCGGGTATCAGGCCGGGGAACAACGCAGAGTCTAAAACCACCAAGCGATCAATTTTTGGGAATTCGTTGCACATTTCGGGCGAAGGACGGCAACCAATCCAATCTAGTCATGAGATCGGTGTTATAATAGTCAGTACCACCGCTAAATCGCAGCGCACCTTCTTTTTGCGAGCTTCTTCGCGCTCCTTCCTGATCTTCTCCAGCTCCTTCTCCAGCGCTTCTTCGTCATCGTCTGAGTCGTCGTCCGAGTCGCTGCTGTCAAGATCATCACCGCTGTCAGCATCGTCTTCGTCGTCGTACTTCTTCACGTCGTCCAAATTCACGTCGCCCTGCTCTTTCAACAGGAGCTGTAGACGATCCCTACCTCGACCGGCTCCTCCCTCGTCTTACACATTTATTTGTTGATTGTTGAGGAAGACGGCAAAGAGACGCGTTTAGATCGCCGCTCCCTCACGCTTATAGCGGGAGCGATTTCGCGGGTGTACGGCACCAACAGCAGAGTCAGTGCTGTCAAGTACGAAGTATCAAATTCCCGAAAGACAAACTATGCGACCGTCCGTGTGACTGCTTTATCTTGAAATTGAGTACTGCAGGATCGACCGATTCACATACATACTCGCGACATAAAATGGGATATCAAACGGCCAGACGTCCAAATACTGTACTGACAACAAGAGGCACACGATGACACGGCCTACAGCAGTACCTCGACTTTCGTGCGAAATATGGCCAGCGCATCTGAAGTACAGCAGTTACAAATTTCTCTAAAATATTACTCGGGAGTATTTTTTTTAGTATGGTGTACAGCCAGTAGTCTACTGAATTACAGCTGCTAAATTACACATTCCGGGAATAGACTACCTGGTACGTTGTAGCATGTGCTTTGCATATACGAAATACTGGTATTAACTCTTTCGCTCGTAAATATCTCGTCACACACAAACACGAGGCACGTTTCGCAATGTAAACGACAAGATACCGTTCGTTCTCGTATCTCTTACCGTAACGTCGAGCGATTGTAGCAGGTTTCTCGTCCAGTGCTCGGCGTTCGCTGTCTTCGACCTCGGCGCGGACATCCCGCTTTCGAAGTTCAGCCTCGCTGTTTTGGCCTGTCTTCCTGAATTTTAGAGTAGTCTGGCTTGGCAAATCGTGCGCAGAAACAGCCTGACTTGCTTGCCCTGAAAAATCAATAGGTAAGGTGAGGGACAGGTAAGAGCGTTATGTAGTCACAGCTGAATTATGTCTCCTCCACAAGGCAGGGGGGTGAAGCGGAGACCATGATGATGCTGCTATGATATGCACTGCTACTGCTGTACATTCTATAAAGAGGGAGCCACAGCCAGTTTCTTACCCCCAGTGGACCAGTTTCCGACATCGGAAGCAGCAGCTTGGGCCGGAGCCCACGTGGGCCTGTGGGCTGTTGTCATGTTGTAATCGCTTTATCCAGAGATCGGGACCGGCAGCGTGGCTCACGACACGGCCGGCGGACGGAGCGGTACCTGCACTACAACAGCGGCGAGAGCACCACAACACGACTCCGGACTATACACGCGTTGTCGGACCCGCAGAGTGGAGAGACGGACCTAAAAGAATGGGGAGGGTGCCAATATTGTCAGAGTAGAAAAATAGAATTCGCGGAGCCCCACGCCCAACGCCGCTGCCGAAGAACTGTCACTCAGTCAGCTGTCAGCTGTCAGCTGTCAGCTTGCCGGAGAGCGGAAGGAGAGCGTATGGGAGAATCGGCTCAAGCGGGATGCGCGATGGAGACGGAGGATGCGCGTGAGGCCCCGTTGACCGTTACAGAGTTCTTCTTGGACCCCAGGCGCTACAACCCGTCCTCCCCAATCCTCCACAAGGCGGCAAATGTGAGTCCTAACGTCCTAACACGAGAGGTGAACTGACTGACTACAGCAGTGTTTTGCTGCTCTTGTAGTCTAGCTCTCCGCACAGCAGTACAAACGAGTTTGGTACGAGTTCCAAACATCGAGTCCAAAGTCGAACATCACGTAGGATCGAGAGTATGCCGAAGAGTCCCCGAGATATTCGCGGGAAGGTGAACGGAGCACCCTCAGTTTTCCGGCCGAGTTTTTATTTTGATTTGACTGCTGCCCTGCCGATCTCTGTCTCTTTGTGCTGGGTTGATCGAATCTTGTATTTTATTTGTGTACCGGTTGGTCTCCCCTTACACTCACTCAATACACAAGAGGGGGCACCAAGCATACGACGTTTCATGGAATTGCCTTGCCCATCCGGTTTCTTCGCGTGGGAATTACAATTAATAGTTACAAGTCCCCAGTCCCCAGCCGTCCGACTTGGCGGGATTACAAGTTGTAGTGCTACCATTATTTTGTAGTCACAGCAGCCTGTGCCCTCTCTTGGCAATACTCCGAAGCAGTATACTCGAAATATGCACATCATGTTCGTTTTACAACGTGTGTACTTATTACCGTAGCAGTGTCAAGCCTGTCGGACGAGACTTACCAGACAAACCCAGCTTTATTATGTTGATGGACACGGGTACGGAAGTTGATGTTGGGGTTCCCAATCCCAGCTGGTTTTCAATCTGTGTTTCAGGGAGGAGGTGGTGACTCCTTTGGCGGAGTCAGTACAAAGCTGTGTTCAATTTCCTGGTAGGATACAGTATGTCGCCATCAGGACTCGGTTCAATCGTGGGTACACGATAAGGCTAGGGTTAGGACAACAAAATAAAGTGTTGGTTCGGTGTCGTGGTTGACAAGTGCGACTTCGCGGCCAACGAGGGAAAGGAACAGCTGAACAAGAGTTCTATGGCAATCACCCGTGACTTCCTCTTGGGTGTCCCTGGCGGTATATGCTGTTGCGCCCATTAACAACCAAGAGGTGTAGAAACCGGTGTCTACAAAATGGGATGGCCACAGCAAACTACACCAACGACAACAACCTTCACCAACCCACCCACGACTAGGAAGGTTTCTCAACGTCTTCCGCTCCATGCAAACCCCGTGAGAGCGTATATCGGAGTCAGCTGCTGCTGTCAATCAATACTAGCCCTACGCCCTCCATTCTGTGACCTGGTGATGAAATCTCTCTCGCGCGGTTGCTTGATGCGCCCACGAAATGCGGTGCGAAATGTGATAAATGTTTTATTTGTCAAACCATGGTAGGGGGGTTCAGGGAGAGGAACCCTTCTGTGTGACGACGGGTTGGGAGTAGACGGCACAAAACCTGTGAGCGCTTGTTTGAAGTGAAGACCAAAAAAAAGATAGTACAGCCGGAAACACCCCCAACACTCTCATTCCAGATGACACCCATGTATTTTATGTGTACTATAGTACCAGGCTAATGTATCCTCTTGCACACAGAACACCGGGGATCAGGGTAGCTGTGGACGGATCGGAGTTTATTATACGGCCAAACAGACGGGGCAGGCGGGTTACCTTTGGTTATGATACCGCACCCACACGGCAGCTTCACCCCATGAAATATCGATTACTGTGTGACGACAGCAGCGATACGGCGGGTACTCACTTCTAGCATACAGAGTACACAATGTATTCGATAGACGATCGAGTCAACAACCGACAACGCGCACACCAACTCCATTATTGAGTGATTCAAGATGAAACGGCGCTGGCTCTAGATATTTGCATAGTGAGACCTGGTCCGTCCTTGCCACAGGTGACTCTGCACTTTTCACGGCACTGCCTGCCTACTGCTGCTTGCCTCCGTGGTGCTTTTATGAAATCTCCACCGTCCTTGGAAATGTTCCTATGTTCCTTTGGGAGGTGCTGGTCGGGACACGTTGCTAACAGTAATAGTGGCAGATTCGTTCACATCGGTCGGCACGCGGGCGTCTCTATACAACTATCATTTTATTGTTCACCACCATCGCCAACAGTTTTGTGTCGCATTGCGTTCCTCAACGAGGAAGGACTACTCTCAATTGAGACCATGGCACACAAGATGCCGACTGCTGTTGCCCATCCTTCGGGTTTTTGTTGCTTTTCCCTTCAGGCCGACGGAGATACCGCGCTTTACGTTGCCGCAAAAGCTGGGCACGACGAAGCCGTGCGTGCGCTACTGGAGGTGCAGGCCACGAAAGTTAACTGGCAAAATCACAAAGGTGCGCGATCCATTTGAACATGTGCAAGAACGGCGGTGGGGTAGGCAATCCGTGGTTCTACGTTCATGCGCGCAGGCTTTGTTGATTTGACGCTGCTAGTCAACGTCGACTTCAAGCAACGCAAAACAAAGCAAATCAAACCTGTTGTTGCTTGTTTGCAGCTGCTATGTAGCAGAAAAGACGGAATCGTGGCCATGCAGTATCAGGAAGATGTGCTACTGGTTTTGTGCAGTGTTAAGCGCTGGTTGTAGTTTTACAACCAAATTGTGTTGGTGATCGGTCCTGGGCGTCGCAAGGGCACAAATTGCTGTAATCGGCGGCCTTCGAGTTTAGACTCACGTCGTTTGCGGACTCGTGTTGTACCCTTGTCGATTTGTAGGTATTACGTCTGTGTCGGTGGCGGCGCACAAGGGGCGCGAGGAGATTGTGAAGATGCTTATATCAGCTGACGCGGACGTGAACATCGACAGCAACAACGGCTCAACACCCCTCATCCAGGCGTCCCATTTCGGTAAGTCTGCTGGTCGAGCGTGACCAACGACCACTTTCATAATCTCCTCTTGCATCGTGGGTTGACGTCTTGCCCATGCCCGGTGCCTCGTTAATCAGCACCGTCCATGCATTTAGTCACCTTTTTGGTTCAATCGTTGGGCAGGGCATGCCGAAGTGGTGAAACTCCTGGTCAACGCGAACGCGCTCGTGGACAAAGCGAACCAAAAGGGAACAACAGCGCTAATGCGCGCAACACAGGAGGGGAACGAAGAGGTGGTCGGCATACTCGTTGCTGCTGGCGCGGATGTTAGCAAGCGCAACAACGAGCGCATGAACGCGCTGATGCTGGGTTCGCAAGTGAGACATTTGTGCTGTACTCATTCTTGGAAATATATGTCCTTCAACTGCGGTTGGCGCCATGCTATGTGTGTTACGTGGTTACAGTAGGAGGGGGTCCAACCCCCCCCTCCTATGTGACCCCGGTTGGGTCGTCTAGCTAGTAGAAGTGGAGGATAGGGGCCAGAGGGGCAGACGACAGAGTCCAATGATGGGAGAAAAAAAAAAAAGTAGGAGTTCGCTTTATTGCCAGGCCGACCCTCATTCAACACATGGAGAGTGTTTGGGCAACTGTCTCGCATTCGCTCTGTTCACTGGCACGTACAAGCACGATAGCCTGAGTGTTGGGCCCGTTTGCTGCTGTCCGTGGCAATCAGGTAAATCATGCTTAGGATGCTCACCCCATGTGTGGTGGCGTGTGAACGCAAGTGCAGCATTATCTTTCGGTGTTTTGCAGCGCCTCCTTTGCAAGCGTGTGTGATGAACGAGCAGGCCGGGTGTGGTCAGACTACGTCGCGAAATCGTAGGGGTGACTAGTATTGTAGCGGCCTGTATCACCTATTCATACCATCCTTGTTGCAGCCACTGACCCATCGGCTCGTATGTCTTTTTGTTGGGTTTGACTTCTCAGAGAGGGCATGCGGCAATAGTTCAAGCTCTCATCCATCACAAGGCGGACATCGACGGGCAGGTATGCCACAACTTGGTGTATTCTCAGGGTAGGCAATAAGACCAACTTGTTGCTTGACACTCTTCCGGCTACATATTCCGAAGCACTTATTTGTTGTTGCTGCGTGCTTGCCTCTGTCAGCACTTCAAAAATATCCTCCTTGGGTCGTGCACTAATATATATAGTATCGGCCAACTCGACGTTTTTTGCCACGCCTTGCCCCATGTGTATCGCTCCGTTTGGCATCGCCAGACAGCGCAAGGCAGCACGGCCCTGATGCTGGCATGTAAACGGGGCCACGAGGAAGTTGTTCGAGTACTACTCACGGCCGGAGCAGAATTGCACCAAAAGGACAGTCGCGGGAGAACAGCACGAGATACAGCATCAAAGCGAAGTCATGAGTCAATCCTGGCCATGTTGCACCCGTCAAAGCAGATGAGGCTCATGCAGGTGGGGTACTGAAAATCCAAGACACAAGCAGGTGGATGCCGGACCACGTTCTGCTTTTGTATATCGTGCACACCTCGATTTGGTAAATGGACAGTTGAATGCTCACGGCCAAGTCCCTCGATGTGCGCTAAAACATCTACTGGTACCATATTACGCAAGCGATACGAAGAGCTGGTCTTGCCAGGTGTGATGGGTGCTTCCTTTGCTACACGGTTTAACTTGAAGTATACTGTTTGCTGTCTCCTGCTCTGTTGATGCAGGACGCGGAGGTTGCAGAAAGGACGCTCGTGCTGCAGAAGGTCTTCAATCGCTACACGGCAGGAAAGCTACTAGTAACGGAGACACAACCAGACGTTTCGGGTTCGGCGTCTCTTTCAATGCTTATCCGGAGCCTCATCTCGCCAATATCCTCCAATCGAGCAGTTTTCGAGCACATCGTAAGTTTTTTCCGACCTGTACTGTGTAGGGTGCTTTCGTAACAGACATGCTCTTGGCTTTGTCTTGTTGTCGCCGGGGGAGACCCCAGCTTGTAGCACAGTTGTAATACGCTGCTTGAATTTGAAACGGTGTTGAACTGCTCGCGGGCATGCCGCAGTTGAAGATAGTCGCAGAAGACGGAGCGATTTTCCACCCACAACATTCTTGAAAGTCAGTTATGTTTGCGCGTTATCGTTGTGAGCAGGCGAGCTTTATCCCACTTCCGCGCCTGTGGGATACTTCATTGGAAAAGATTCGCCGGCGATGCCATATTGACGCCACTGAGGTGAGGTTTAGCTTGTGCGGCACGACCGCGTTATTTCGCGTCCGACGTGCGAGTCTGGTCGCTCATGGCGGCTAAGGCGCGTGCCTCGTTGTGTTTGGGTTGTAGAGTTTTGTTCGTTACCTCTGCTGGCGTTTCGGCATGGGTATTGATGGTATGTTCGTTGCGCTCTTGTGGCCACGGATTGGAGAGCTGAGATGGTGTCGGTGTGTTGGTATAAGGATAGCTCGTACGAGTATTGCTGTTAGTCTGGCGTGCGTGTTTGGCGTAGCTGTCATTTCTACGATGCCTCGGGGTACACACGGTAGTTTTGTGATTGTCTCAATCTTGTTTTTAAGAATACATTTTACCATGTAGTGTGATGTCGTTTTTCAAGGAGCACTCCTCAGCCCCTCAGCGTCGCTCGCAATATGTACGCACTGTGCGCCTGCTTTGTTGATTCCATGTGCGAACCTAAAGAACAGGGAACAGGGGGGGTGGGGGTGAGGGAGGGGGGTATACATGAATTTGGGTTCCGCCTTTCAAAACACACTGTATGCACTGCACACGGAATCTTGCGCGTTGCGTAACGGAGCATCGGACGCGTTTCTGGTATCATCAGGCTATCCGTGAGGCCTTCAGGATCATCGATGAGGTTCTGGCAGACCTAAACTTCGTGCACGGTCCGGATCATGTGAGTACCCTTGTTGTTCTCCTGTTTTGGCAGCGCTCCTGCTTCCAGCAATCTCAATACTCTTTTAACTTAAGTAACGTTCGTTCTCGACCAGGGACAGCTTCCCTATTCTCATGTTTTGTCGCGCCTGTGCTCTTTCGGATCATCCGCCTATCCGTGCCAAGCGACTCGGGACTAGTTTTATGGTTTTTATGGTTATGCCTTGATACCACGCTATCCCTGACACAATGCTACCACTTCTGAAGCGCCCTTGGGTGCATGCACAGTCTGGACTTGCGAGTTCATCATTTCCTGCTGATAGACCACACCCAGGGCACTCGGTGAGCTTGTTGTCATGTTCTTTCACCGATGTCTTGGGCCCGAGCAGGGAACTCACCTGGTTCGACTGTGGGAACATCCTTCACTTGGTCAGCGACTTACACAAGACCTGCACATGCCGCCTTTGCTGGTGCAAGCATTAAGATCCTGGGGAGGAACCCAGGAGAGTGTGACCAGTTTGGCCGGTGGAGAAGTCACCTTCCAACCACGAGTAGCTACGCGGGTGAGACACGAGGGTTCGTATTTTCTATTAGCAGTTATAGCGGTTTTCAGGATGACCAACCCCAAGCTTATGGAGAACCTTCAACACGTTTGGACAACGAAATATTGTTTGTACTCTGAAATACCAAGGTCAAATGTCGATAAAAAGGTCCTTTGGTTTGGCTGCCATTGCCTAGCCCTCGCGATAAACGTGCAAACTTCGCCGAGATTACATGACACCATGCTTTTGTGTTCGAAGCGTTGTGGTCCGTGCCACGTGCAGTTGCACATTCGTGTTGGGGTTCGTAGTTGGGTTCGTCACCTATTCTACCCATCTCGCAGAGACGTAGACTCAGTACCTATATTTGGGTCCCTATTGTGCGTTGATGTAATGGCTCACGCGAGCAGGTGGTTGCGCTTGCAACGGAGCTGGTCAAGTGGTATCGTACCCACGAAAGTTCCACGTGCTACATCGTGGACCCAGATATTTCAGCAGCCTGTGCCAATGGCGCCGGGTCAGGACGACTTGATGGCGAGATCGAGGGCGAAAGCTCGGACGGGGAAATGGATGGCTGAAATATTCAGACCCGCTTGTGCATAACTTGTAGATGTTGACGTTCCTTGTCCACAACCGGAAGAACCGTTGAAAATTGCCCGTGGCGTTGTCAGCGTATGGCTATTCCAATAGAGTCGTGTGTTCTATCTCAAGATTCGTTCGGGGGCGTTGACGCTGTAATCTGTTAGACGAGGATATGGCGAACCAAAGATTTCTTAGTTTCTCGACTGCCTCTTTGGCTACGAATTCCATGTAAAGTACTGCTATGCGTTGAAATGAAGGTACAAAACACTTGCTTGTGTGTTGGATGGGTACAAGGAGGAGAGTACGAGGCCTCGCCTTAAATAGACGTTGTTACGGCCTTTGGGATTTCGTCTTTTGTTAGAATCGATAAACAGTGCGGGCGGCGTATCACATGAGGGGTTCAGATAGTACAACGGTGGTAGACGTTGTTGCCGTTGGTAGAAGAGCGAATGGAACAGTCCAGGGTTGCGTTGCCACTTTCTCGTGTAGACTTTTTGGTGTGCCGGGTGTGGCCGATCACGCTGAGATAACCCCCGGTCGTGCACTTACAAGTCGATGAGGTAGCTGAGGACTCTCTGAAATGGCATTCTTGATCCATTCTTGAAGGAGGTCTGCCGGTATGGCGGGGTCCTGAAGCGGACCAACATGGTATAATTAAATGATGAACCGCTCGGATTTGCTACAGGTCGTATGTGAACGTGCAGCCTTCTGTTCAAGCAGTGACATGGGTTGCCCCGGCTGTACGGAAGAACGACAATAAAATGGATTCCGTTCCAACCCGTATGTAAGGTGGGTGTTTGTGGACCTGGTGCTTTGCCACGCCTTCGCAGAAACAAGGTGCTACAGCAGTAGGAAACTTGAATTGAAGCGTGTGGTAAAATGGGAAAAAAACAATGTAGAAATGGGTGATCTGGCTGATCCGGGCAGAAGTTCAAGACCGCCGTTTAGTTCAGAAGCTGTAAGCTTCAGGATTGGTTTTTCGTCGCAGTGCGTGCGTGTGTGTGTGCTCCCAGTATTCCGATACCCCCATCCTTGCCCGACCGGGTCTTGAGAACCGATCTCGACCTACAGCGCACCATAGCTTCAGTCTCATCGTTCGATATCCGTGGGTGGGTGAAACTTCCATTCGCATCCCCCACCCGACCGTGTGTGTCTAAAATGCTGATCTCGAGGTACAGTACAAATCTCGTGGCGCCTCGAGTATGGTTCGGTGTGGAATCGCAAATCATGAGCCGTCCGCGAGTTTGAGCAGCTTCCGCCTCCTGTGGCCGGCAAGAGTGGGCCTTGACTGTTCCCCGCCTGTTTCGCCATGGAAACGGCCGGTTGAACAGCGAAAGAGGGTCCTGCGTGCTGCGCGCCACATTTTGTTATTTTTTTTGCGTTTGTTCTTGAGTGATCGTTGTGCACATGCGGCGGCTGCTGCCACGGTTACTGCTGTTATGCTCGGAATGTGCTGCGATGGTCGTAAGGTTATCGTAGCCAGGTTTGACAACATTCTACTCGTTCGTGTAGCGGCAGCAGTGCGCATCTATCGCGACGGCAAACGCATTGAGACATAGTTCGTCCGTCGTACTAGTTACACAGATAGTCGTGTTCTTCGTTGTTGTCACTTCATACAACAAAAATAGAGAAAGTCTCCACAGTTCGCAGAGGTTGCTACGATGTGGTGCACTGGTCGTAAGGATATCGTTGTCAGGTTTGACAACAGTCTACTCGTTCGTGTAGCGGCAGCAGTGCGCATCTATCGCGACGGCAAACGCATTGAGATAATAGTTCGCCCGTCGTGCTTCTAGTCTACACAGATAGTCGTGTTCTTCTTTGTTGCCACTTCAAACCAGAATAAAAAGAAAGTCTCCACAGTTCGAAAACGACGACTATTTTGTTTTGTTGTGTTTGTTGTTGCTGAGCGCCCATCATTGTCGCCGTTCGTTACACGTGTGTAAGCCTGCGGTGTGCCAGAGGGATGAGTGAGTGTCTTCTCGAGAGTTCATGCCTTGTCTTCTCGAGTCCCTCTTCCTTTTCGTCTACCTCTCTCTCTCTGTCGCATTTCGCCGTCAGGGTCCCAACAACATCGAACGTCAACGAACAGCAATCGTTTTTCTTCTTGCGGAGTAGGAGGCTCCCCGTGTACCCGGCTGCTGCGTGTGAGGCGATGAGCGTCGCCTCTTTCCGTCAAGCAATGGGCATGGCCCCTAATGTTCGCTGCATGCCGTGTCAGTGCCATGTATGTGACAGCTTCTACCGGTTCAGAGTGGCGACGGTGGGTTTTCGCCGGTGGAGCCCCCAGAACAACGCGAACCGCGACTGTTTCATTGTTTTGGGGTCTCTCACACCCACCCAATCGTTAATTTGAGCAGTTTTCGTTGGGAGGATGTTTTTCTTGCCATGTCAATGACGTGTTGCCCCGACGAGGAGGATGGATGTCAAACGATACATTTGTCTTAGGAAAGCTATCGGTTCCAACGCCGCCCGGCCACGCTTTCTGCTGTGGAGTAATCGAGGTTTGAAAATGAACAAGTAAGTGTTGAGGGGGTGTGAATCTTGTATAATATGTCATCTACTCTGTGTACAGCTTTGTCGTGCTCGGTGCGCCCTCGACATTATTAACCGCTAAGAAACTGGAGAGCTTCAGACAGGCAACGCGACGATACTCGTCGAGTTGCTATCACAATCACACAGTATGAGGGGGGAAGTACAGAGAAAAATAAGGAGGAACATCATAATTATCAATTGGGGGAACCACCATATAGTGTGGGAGTACAGCAGTAAACGTCGACTCCCCCCCCTCCCCCCGGCGCATCAATCCCAACCGTCACAAGCCGTGCAGCCACTATGACTGGGTAAATAACGCCCTGATGTCCAGATGCCTGGGTAAATAAACGTGTCGGTTTATAACGACATTAGTGCCCGTTCTTCTCTCCCAGGTCGGTTTGGGGGTTTACAAAGTTCTAGGTCTGTCGGCGCATGCTGACATGATACGTGTGTGGCGCGCACTGCGTGTGTGTTTGGGTGCGCGCAGGTGAAAGACGTGGGGGGCCCCCACGTTTGGAATTGCCGGGGGTGTGAGATACCCCAAAGCGCCACTTTATCGGGTTTCTTTCGTCCTTTAAAGCGGCACAATGCCACTACATCGGGTCGAAATTGTGACGAGATATTTTGATGCCGCTATATCGGCAATTCCGTTATTCAGGTTGCCGCTATATCAGGCCACCTACTGTACGTTTTCTGTCCTCTTTTGACCGGCCGGCGGCATTCCTGATTTTTCACCTCGTATCAGTTCTTATTAGTTTTCTTACGAAAAAATGCGTGATTTTTCTTTCCTTTTCACGCTTCGCTGTCTTCTTTTCTTGTCTGAACCGCTCCTTTTGTCTTCTCGACCAATTTCGGAAGAAGTCGAACCAGAGTCCGCTTCGTAGCAACTAACGGCATCTGTTGATTGCTATGAGCTAGGGATGAGAGTGTCTGCGCCGAGTGAGCGCTAACGGGACAGTAGTAGTGAGTTACGTAATTATACGATGACAGCGCATACGGTGCCGCCCATGTACACGCCAATCATGCTGCATACTCCAGACGTGTGCAACCATATGTGCGACCCTGCGTGCTGTTTCTCTCGGCTTCATCGGTCGGCTCGCCGTCTACCTGTCTTGATCGCTCTTTTTGTCTTCTTGAACAATGTCGGCGTAGTCATGGAACCTTACAGCAGTCGGACCTTGTCTCCCACGGTGCTTCAGGCCATCGAAGACTCCTCGTGGGCTTTCTCTGAAGTTTTAGTACACGTCCAGGTGCTCCGCTCAACGAATAACTTGTAATGCTGTCGTCACGACAAATTGTTTTTGACCCTAACTGACCCTGGTTGGTCAGCCTCAGTTGTTGATAACGGTGGACACGCCTGAAACTAGGCAAGGCAGGGCCTAGGACAAGAATCGTCCCTCCGTGGCCTAGGGGGGCTCTGGTCGATTCACCTACTTGGTGATGGTAAACAGAGTGCAATATTTCACACGAGCCTTGCTCCCTCTCCATCTATCTCTCTCCTGCTCACATGTCAACTAGGTAGATAGAAACCCCAATCTACCATATATCTTAGACATGCAGATATCCAAATGCAGCTTCCCACCGTAATCTACTAACCCAGGTGCACTGCGTGTAGACACGCCTGAAGTCAGGCAGGGCCTAGGACCAGTATCCTCCCCCCGTGGCCTCGGGGGACTGGTCAATTCACCTCCTTGGTGATGGTAAACACAGTGTATTATTATTGCACACGAGTATCGTCTCTCTCTCTCTCCATCTATCTCTCTCTCCTGCCAACATGCCAACCAGGCAGATAGAAACCCCAATCTACCATGTCTTTGACATGCATACATATCCAACGGCAGCTTCCCACCGCGAACTACTGCTACCCAGGTGCGCTGCGTCCACAATGCCCCCAACGCTTAATGCTACCGGAGTAGACACTATCCAGCTTGAACTCAAACAGCAGTAGGCACCTGGTTCTACTCAAGAAGAAAACGACAGCGACGTTTGTGAATGATAAACACCCGTACACGGCGATATCATGCCTGACTAAATCATGCCACACCAATGCGTCAGTGTCAGTCAGCACAAGTGTTCAACCTCCAATGCAAAACGTAGAATGCCCCCATTCAACAGTGAAGGACCTCGATGCTTCAAACGACAACCACGCACGTGTCGGACGACCACACAAGATTGGCTAAGTCCGGTAGACACGCGTACAGAGAAACTTACGGAATGGATGGATGACCACCAACACACCGCAACAACGCGAAATGGGCAAAGTTGCCACACGCAAGGAAAATGATGAAAAAAACAATAACCCAGAGGCAACGCTAAAAAGTTTTACGAGGCGCTTCCAGGGTTGAGTTGAAATATCTCGAAATACCAAACATATATGGCGAAACGATCGGCATGATCGCTGAACAAGCCGATGTCGCGAAATTTGACAAACGTACGTAGCTCGCGAAGAAATACCACTGACACGCTGTCATAAGGCGGCCTCCACGCAGTTCAATCACATGCAAAAGACAGGCACACCACAACATAAATGCGCGGCAAGCTGAAGAATATACAGAAACAGTCAGCGAAGAAATGCTATCAATGCTCGACAAGATAGCCCTCACTCAACTCAAACAAATAATCACAGGGCAATGCCGTATTGTTGCTTCAACTGAGCCCGAACCTTTTTCGGCAGACCCAGCCGCCGCAGCTGGGATTTGACGAACTGCGGCGCGGCATCCCACACCTTGGACAACTCTTCCCAGGTGTTCTCTTCCTTGTCGAATCCGACCCACTCTACTTCCACGTCGAACACAGGGCCATCTTCCGCCACCGACATGTCCACGATCGTCGCCATCTAGAACTCCCCCTGCGTGAAAGCATGCTGAAAGACCTCCTTCAACTCGGCCGTGATTTCGAGAGCGGCATCGGCGTAGAACCGCAAACGCGCGACATGGACGTCCCGAACTTCCCCCGACACGATGTTCTGGACACCGTACACATGCAGTCTCTCGGCGGCGACAATCCTCCACGGCCCCGTCCAGGTCATGAAAAGCTTCGGTGTCGAACCACGCCGGCGAACACGCGCCACCAACACGTAGTTCCCCACCACAAAGTCAGGCAGGCTCCCAACTCGCGCAGACGCCCGGTGCTTACTCCGACTCGCCTGCACCTTGTCGAGAACTCCCTCGTGCAGGTGACGTTGGGCCTCGACGACGTGCTGCACCTTCAGCCGCAAAGACTTCTCATCCAGGACGTCTACCTTCCATTCGGCGCCTGTGGACGACGCCAAAGTGGAAAGCCCGGTGCGTGACGCTCTACCAAACATCACGTGGTACGGCGTCGAGCCGTATCGTTCGCGGAAAGCGGTGTT